GTATTCGGCATATGCTTTAAAGAGGTTCTCCGCTGAGCTTATCTGGCATTCTACAAGCTTCCTGACCTTGGTACATTTTCTTCAATGCCCATGACTTATGTGCTTTTATTAGTGGTCTTGTTTTCTTTATGATAATAGGGTTTGAAACTAGCATTTTGTTCCTGTTAGTCAAGTGATTTACTGCTGAAACATGCCTTCAATCTTTTTTTGCACACTCTGTTTTTCAGAGTGTCATGCTTTCTGCCCAAGCATGTACCTGCCTCACAGTCCTCCTATTTTTCACTTGTCACTATATTTATGATGACAGGACCCACACCACCAAATCTGGCTTCTTTCTGTCGAGATAAAATCTCATTGATTTTTCTGCTAAGTAAGATTGATGGAGAAATGCAATAATCCTGTTTTTAACTAATATGACAGTTGTAAGTCACTGTTTGTAGATATTGGGTAAGAAGGTGTCTTTGAAGATGTCTGCCTGAGTTGGATTCAAACAGCAATCCACCCAATCTCATCCTCCCAAGGGTCTAGGATTAGACGAATGAACTACTGTTCCTGTCTTAATGGTGGGTTTTTTTTGGAAGGTGGGGTGCTAATCCTGGGGCTTAAACTCAGAGCCTGGACACTTTCCCTGAGCTATTTTGCTCAAGGCTAGTTCTCTACTACTTGAGCTACAGTCCCATTTGTGGTTGTTTTGATGATAATAGTTTCATAAACTTTCCTCCCAGGACTGACTTTGAACTATAATTTTCAGATAGCAATCTCCTGAGTACCTAGAATTATAGGTATGAGCCATCAGTGGCCAGCTAAATGGTCTTTTAATATTAGTCTTTTCAGAGGTCTTACATGTTCTGTTCATTCTTTTTATGTTCTTCTTTATCTTATCTTTGTCTTAATAGTGTATCTCTAACTTGAAGGTCTTTTATATTTGTCTTTTTGAAGTAATCATTTCCAAAATTTCAACATGAATTTTTTCATGACTTCTGTATCATGCTTAAATTTGTCTTTCATATGCTGGTTTATCTTCCTTCTTTCTTCCATTTCATTGTTTGTATTCTTTTACAATGTACTCAGTCATTTATTAATGATTTCTTTACTTTTATTGATTATCCTTTTTTTTGGCTGTGGAGCTTGAACTCTGGTCCTGGGCACTGCCCCTCAGCTCTTCAGCTCAAGGAGAGTGCTCTACCACTTGAGCTACAACACCAATTCCAGTTTTCTGGTGGTTTATTGGAGATAGGAGTCTGGTGGACTTTCCTGCCTGGGCTGGCTTTGAACCGAGATCCTCACTTCTCAGCCTCCTGAGTAGCTAGGATTATAGGTGTGAGCTACCGATGCCCCTCTGATTATTCTTATAATCAGCAAATCTTTCAAATTCTTTGTCTGGGATATCATCTACTTCCCTTATCATTAATATCTGTCATTATCAAGATCATTTTTTCCCCAATTTACTTCATTATTGTTACCTTTACATACATCTGGAAATAAGTGCATTTCCTTTTGTATAATGTCATCTGTTCGCTCATTCTCTCTTATTCTTTCTCTCCCATTTCCACCCATGAGTTGCATAGTTCACTTTCATCAATATCAGATGCAGCCAGTGTGCTTCACTGTTGCACTTTTTCACCCTTTTTCCTCTGATTCTGTGACCTCCCCATACCATCCCACAGATGAGGATGTGAATATATGAGGTCAATTTTTGATGAATCATGTTGCCCTACTTTGTACTTATAGTTCTACATTGAACTTGCACATAGAGGCAAAGGCTTTTTTTTTGAAAATTTAATCCTCAAAATTTTCAATGACAATATCCTCAATGTTCAAGTTGTTGTCTATGTAGTGAGAGGTCCAAGATGTAACTTCTCATCATTGGACTGGGAATATTATGCAGTAGCCAAATATTTGTCCACATGGAATCCTTAGCACCACTTAGAAAGTTGAAAACTACTTGTAGTCTTTTGTATTTCCTAGTTTACAAAGAGACGATGAGGGTTGGGAAAATCAAGGTTTCTACTGTATGCTTCTGGACTGCTTTCACTTTAAAAATGTTCCTCTGGCCGGGCACCGGTGACTCTTATCTCCAATAAATCACTGGAAAACAGAAGTGGCGCTGTGGCCCAAGCGGTAGAGTTCTGGCCTTGATCTGAAGAGCTGAGGGATAGCTCCCAAACCGAGAGTTCAAGCCTCATGACTGACAAAAAAAAAAAGTTCCTCTGTTTAGAGGAATGGCTCCTGATAAAGGAAACTTTCACCCTGTGGGCTGCGTAAGTTCCCGCTTGCTCCAGAAACTCTATAGCTTGTATTCTAGGAGAAGAAAGTTCCAGGACTAGAGGTGTCACCTGAATAGTCAGATACTTGGTGGACATTTTGAACACTGAGTTCTGCACTGGAAGCAGGGAGCTTTGGAACACAGGCACTTTAGATGCTAGACTCAACACTTTCATGCTGTCCAGTAATTCTATACCTTGTTGGAGGAAAAAGGTATAACAATCATGGTTCTTATGACTGGGTCTCATAGCTTTTATTCCAACCTAGCTGTAAACACATTCAGCTGGAGGTAGGTTGCCCGCTTCAGTTCGTTTAGACCATGTCCAGAAGTTCTCTACATGGCAAGAGGAGGAGGTTGTGGATCTTATTCATAATATAATTTTAAAATTTGCTTTATTGTTATATTCATAATATCTTACAGCTTAAAAATGACAGCTTAGGGCTGGGAAGGCGTCTCAGTGGTAGAGTGCTTGCCTTGCAGGCATGAGGCCCTGGGTTCTATTCCTCAGCACCATATAAACAGAAAAAGCCAGAAGTGGCGTTGTGGCTCAAGTGGTAGAGTGCTCTCCATGAGTTGAAGAGCTTAGGGACAGCACCCAGGCCCAGAGTTCAAGCCTGATGACCAACAAAAATAAATAAGAATGACAACTTGGTCTGGCAGTGTATTCACTGCCAGCTGCTAGTATTCAAGTACTTCAACAGTTATTGATATGCTATTTTTATAATGATCCTTAGCAATTGGAACTAAATTCTTGCTAGGGAAAGTAAAATCTCTAATCACTGCATCCTTTACTTCCTGAACTTCCTGATGCTTAAACTTCCCAGTTCGTTCACATTAGACCCTGATTTTCTCCATGGCCACTTTTTGTGGCCATCTTCTAATTAGACATTGAAGCAAGGTGTACCAAGACTTTCAGAGCTATGATTATTCCTTTTTTTAAGTTTCCAGAGTATCTTAGTTTCAATATTATACACCCTCTCAAGATGATTGTCATACCAATCTCTGAAATGTCTTTCAGGCTTGTGTTAAGTGTGGGCTTGTTCTTCAGCTACAATTTCTAGTCTATCATCATGGCCATCTAACCTAATTTATGGCAATATCTTCAGCTTCCTTTCTCAACTAAGAAGCCAGTATTGGAGTCTTAGACTATTTGCTCCATTTCTCTATTGCCTTTCTCTGTACACTTCGGCAACTCCTTCCTGATTTCATATACCCTTCTCCTTTTTTTTTCTTCAAAATATTGTTTCCACTTTGTTTCTCATATATTTCCTTATTCATAGAATCAATTCCAATCTTCCCACTTCCATGATTAATTTTCTAGTTATCATTAGAAATATTTCTTAGCCTTAAAATGAGTTGATTTTTCACTTACTGTTTTCAATTGTTATCTTACCTTTAGCCTTCAAAATTTTTGTTATATTTTATTTAAGATAAATTTATATTAAATGTATTACACTTGTTGGTCTTTCCAGTTCTGAGTGTTAATTTCCCTTTCTCTCCAGATAAGGAAAGTTTCTGTTGCTTCATTCTATAAGCTTATGTTGCTTTCATTTTCTTTGTTCTTTATGGAACACCAATAATGTAGACATGAGTTTGCTTGACAGTCTCTCATAATTCTCACATGCTTCTTAATGCTGATAGTTTTAATGTTATTTCTCAGATTGTTAGTTTTGTATGACCTGTCTTCACTAATAAGTTCATTGTTTCTCTTTCTCTGTTTGGTCTACTGTTCAATCATTTTGGGAATTTTTTAAGTTTATTATTCTATAGATCCCTGACTTGTTTTGTATTTTATGGTTTCCATTCCTTTTTAGAACTCTATATATTTTGTTTATGCACCTTTTTCATAACTTTATATAGTTGCCTGTCTATAATTGCTTATAGTTTACTGATCTCTAAAGTGATTATTTTGAATTCTTTTTCAGTTGATAAATTTTCATTTCTGGTTTTACTGGTACTTATTTTGTACTTTTGATGGTGTCATGTTTCCCAGATTATTTATGATCTTTGTGGCTGTGTGTTACTATCTGCACATTTAAAAATATGAATTTATTCTAATTTTATGACTTCTTTTCATATGAATTTCCCCTTACCAATGGTCAGTTTATCAAGATATTCTATGGAAACCATTTGAAACAGGTAATCTTGCTACTATAGTCCTCATGCAACCTGTCTCAGTTCCTGGATCAACAGGTGAGTGGACCTACTTCCCAAATATATAGACAAGCTTGGATCCTGATCTGTGATTGCTAATCTGAAGTCTAAGTCCACAGGAGGTAACAGCACTGGAATGATCTCTAAATCTGAGCTAGTCAGATAATAAGATGACTCTTACACTTGGAGTAATGGAAATATGCTTAGAGTATGAATCCATGATATTTGATATGCATTTGGAAATGGCCAGGAGCTTGAGTCTGTGGGAATGGGTCTGTGTTCTGAGTCCAAGGGGTAATATTTAGAGTCTGGATCTGCACAGAGCATAGAGCCTCAATTTGCATGGATTCTCCTAAATATCATGGTCTCCTAGGTTTGTCTGGACTCTGTATGTACAAGAGTTTAAGAACAATTTGAAATAGCCTGGAGTATTGATCTAACTTCATCCTGAAGCTTAGTTTGGGGAGGCTAATCTAGATATTGTATATTTGAATCTAGTTCTTCAGAAAAAGTACTAAGGGCTATCCCAATGACAAAAAATCCATGAATGAGACAGGAGAATGGGTCTACAGGAGTATTAATGGGCCAATTTGGAAACACAGAGAACAGTCTTGCACCAAATGTGCCTGTATCTTTAGAGGCAAACCTGGACATTGAGTCCTCACCAGCTAGCTCAGTAATGATTTCTCTCTGGATCTTGGATTTGAAACTATTCACATGGCACTTGGATAGAAGCAAGATATATGTACATATGTATGTATGTATGGATAGATGGATGGATGGATGGATGAATATGGATATATATGTCTAATATATATATATATATATATATATATATATATATATATTTGTCTAGGATTTAGGGATCTGAGATCTGGCCAGCACTGGCATGGGTCTGAAGTCTAGGGCTATGTATGTGAAAAAGGAACTTAGGTAGCTTGGAATCTCAACCCCAGGAGCTGGTCTGATAATATGTCTACATTTTCAGATACTGGTGTGGAGGCTGGGTATATGGGTATAGGCTTAGATGACAGAGTCATGGAAAATAGCCTGGATCTTGGGTCCACAAGTGTAGCCCTGGTGCCTGGAGCCACAAAGGCTGGCCTACCATTGGGAAATACTGGAATCTGCCTGGACTCTGGGTCTACTGGTCTCTAGCCTTGGGTTTCACAAGCCCACTTGGCACTAGGAAGCCTTTGAGCTTGTGCCTTAGAATCCTCTCTGGTTTGATCTGCAGCTTCTATTTTAGTGTCTGACATAACTTGGACTGGCCCAGAGATATTCCATAAATCTCACCTTGATGATAAGTTAGAGTTGAGGCTGTGCACAAGGGTCCTGACCTAGAGTCTTGAACTGTGGCTTCTGTGTTGGTAGTGGTATAAATCTGAAGACTCGGAAGAGATGAACTGGTCTGACACTACATCAACTAATGTGGGACTTCAAAGGGAGGACTGGATGGGCTTATTGTCTATATTCTTGAAATATGGACTAAAGGCTAGATTTATGGGTATTAGCATAGTGCCTGGAACATTAAGGATCAACCTATTCCTGGCGTCTGTGAGTGTCATCTTGAATTCTGTGACTGTGGGGGCCAGCCTAGGTCTTGAACAATCTGAAAATTCTTTCTATAGGAGCCTTCTCCGTGTTAGGGACATGGAGGAGTCTGCAGCCATGGGTGTTGTGTAGAGCTGAGGTCTTTGAGTGATGCAGGATTGACTAGACAGTGGCAGTGGGAATAAGTCTGGCAGTGGATCAGTCCTGAAGCTTGACTCTGTGTGGGCTGGCCTGGTGCTGAGGAAATACACTGGGGCCAGACTAGTGGTGAGGCAGACTTGGAGAATGAATTTGCCTGTTCAGTGTCCTACTCTGTAGCTCCCATTACTCAAGTTTTACAACTGATTCTGAGTTATAGGTGCATTATATTGAGTTGATATACCTAAAATGGTTTACTGATAATTTTTAAAATGGAAATTTAAAATATATAGCTTTAGTCAAAATTAATAAAGATCTAAAAATCAGAGCATGAAAACAACAATCCAGACAGCAACAACAATTTTCAACTACTAACTTTCAAAAGATGCAGCTCATCATATTATTCTACCAACTCTATGGAATTAATGTAGTCTTAGCACATTGATCTGTTCCTTTGAAAAAGGAAAAAATATAAATAAACACTATATAAGAAATCTTTGAAGTTTCAGTTTTTACCAATGTCCAAAACAGTGGTTATTAACCTGAGCCAAGTATCTGATTATGAATTTCATCCAGGAGAGTTTTTAAATACAGATTTCATTAACCCATTGAGTGGTCATTACTCATAGATCTGGAATCAGTTCTTATATATCCTTATGCTTCTAAAATATTCCACATTAATTCTGAAGATTATGTTTAAGTGGGAATCACAGGATTTTATGACTCAGTATCTTTAAAGTCTTTTTTAAAGTAAACTAGTACTTATTTAAAGATGAGAATAGGCTACATTTTGTGTTAAGTGCCTATAGTTTCAGGAAGTAAAAAGGTTTACTCAAATACATTCCCTTATTTTGACTTATTTTGTTTTATATTTAAGAATTTGTTGATGAAATAATCCCTAAGATTTCTTCATGTTGCTGAAGCATTATTCATGATAATAATTTGATTATTACTAGATATAACATAATTTCAATTATAGCATTTTTTAATTTTTTACAGAGATGAAATAAACACCAGAACATCAGATGATCCCTGTCAAAGTGAGAACTTAGTCTTCAAAATTCAATATTTTACATTTGAAAATAATTTTAGCAACAAATGATCAGTATCTTCTATTAAATGTGGTAAAGCAAGATTTTCCTTAATTTCTATCAAAATGCAAATAAACACATGAATATGCACATTATTATATTGGATTTTAGGTATAAAATGCTGTCAAGTTTGTATAAAGTATTTATATAAGTGAAAGATTTACTTGGTCATATAAAGTGAAAGATTTACTTTATTTGTCTTCCTCATACTACAGATCAGCTTGTCTGAATAAATTCCTGTGTTTAAATATCACAATTACAAAATCCAAAATAGGGAAGGCAAATATAAAAACATGAAAGTAATTGTTGAAAAGCTGATATTTTAGAAAAGTTCTTACTATACAGAACTGAAAATTTACTACAATAGAATTTTTTGGCCAATGGTTTCATTTCTTCCTGCAGGAAACATAAAACATTATGTAACAATATGATTAAGAACATGAACTCTGAAGGCAAACTCTTTGATATTTACTATCTTTACATTTTATGGCAAGAAATTTAACCTGTTTATGCTTCATTTTTCACATTTGTTAGTCAATTGTGTTATATAGTTTTGCAAATAAGAATTATGCCAACTGTCATAAAGTGTTTCACATGTGGCATCACATATAATAAATACCACATAGCTTCTGCAGGTCCAGCTATGCTGTTATTGCTAAAAATACTGTCATATATAATGGCTCTATTTTGTTAAGAGAGTAATGGCATATCTCATTAGTATCCTCAACTCTAGATGTATTCTGAGTGCTTTCCCCAATTCCTGTGTTGACATATTATCCAACTAATTTGCTCTTTCTAATGATTTATTGTGTATGACCTTAAGTATGTATGCACAATTCCTTAAATATCAGTTTCTAGAACTGAATGTTCTATTTTGTGTTTATGGTCCTATATATCTCTGACTTGGGACAACACTGAGGCCAAGCGGGTGCTAAAATCTCAGATTCTATTAGTCAAGACTTTTAATATGCTAGTTATTATAGGAATGACAAGCAATAATTCCTGCTATCTCATCAAAATGGTGCAAGGAAAAAAATCAAAATAGAAGAGAAAATGAAGACACTTAAAAAGAAACACTGAATCTTTCTCTATTTTCCATCCTTATTAACTTATGAGAGTATTTTTCATTGTGATTTAAGAAATACTTATAAACATGGTTTAATGTAAAAATATAACTACAAATATCATTTTAAAAATAATTCAATGTTGCAGAGATTATAAGTATACATTTAAGTTATGCCATTATTTATCTTAATAGTATATTATCCTAAATAGTATATTTCTTACTCAACTATATTGTTTGATGATACAAGTCCACCTACCAGTTCAAAGTCATTATCTTCTCTCTTTTCAGTAAGCGAAACTAATGAAAAATCATGGAATCAAGAGCATTTTAATTTGACATTTCCCAAACCATCTGTGCCAGATAGAAAAGAGAGATCAAGCCCTTCAGAACCACAAATCATGGTTCTTGTGAGTTGAAAAAAATCATTTTTAGACCTAATTTAAGTTTATGTAACATATATAAATATGAGTAAGGTTTATGTGAATTAAATTTGACCAGGCAAAAGCAGGTTTTTAAATTTATATTTCTCGGTAGATTGCACCTATCTGCTTTATAATAAACTATTATTTTCACATGGTCCACCACATGGAAGTTATTTTGTTTCTAATAGGCTAGGTAAGCAGGAAAACCTAATGATAATGACAGTGTCTATGAGTAAATGTTTATTATTGGCAAATATATCTAAAGATTGAATATTAGAACAGGAGCCAATCTTAAAGTGTTATGGCTTCCATTTTCTTTCATCTGAAATTCCACACATTTGATACCAGGAGATTTATGTTTTCTGTTGTTTCTTTTTTTTATTTTTGGTCGGTCGTGGGGCTTGAACTCTGGGCTTGGGCGCTGTCCCTGTGCTCTTCAGCTCAAGGCAAGTGCTCTACTGCTTGAGCCACAGCTCCACTTCCGCTTTTCTAGTGGTTTATTGGAGATAAGAATCTTACCGACTTTCCTGCCTGGGCTGACTTTGAACCGCGATCTTCAGATCTCAGCCTCCTGAGTAGCTAGAATTACAGGCGTGAGCCACCAGCGCCCAGCCTGTTGTTTCGATAAAGTGGAGTTATATTATTAATTAGCCAAAAACACAACTAGATGAAATAGTTTAACATGTAAATCAATCTCTGTAGCCACATATTATAATTACATTTTTCAATATTTTGGTGTGAGTAAAAATAAAAACACTATTTATTAGGAAATGGAAAGACTTGGAAAAAATTATATTCAGTGAAGTAAGCCAGGCCCAAAGAAACATAAGTCCCATGATTTCCCTTATTTGCAATAACTGATATATGTCTAGGACAAGCAGAAAAGATCAAAAGCTATGTACATATGGCCATATAAGATGATGTTAAGTGAAATAAATCCCAAGATAGGGACATAAGTGTTTTTTTTTTCCTTGCTTGCTATTGTTCTTAATGTACTTATAATCTACTATGTGATTTTTTTTGTTTCTTTTGTATGTTCTTCCCCCATGGTATAACCCTTGTTTTCACTGTATTTGATTCTGGTGCCCTGCATCTTGTATATACACTTTTCTAATTTCGGGAGGGGAAGGAAAAAAACAAAATGCTTAAGTAGGGATAAATTGTAACAATCAGATGTACAAGACACTATGTTGAAAAGGAACTTTACAACTTGTAAAGGGAGGGAGGGAGGAGTTGGGGAGGTGAGGAGGGAAGGGACAGTAGGGGAAAAACAAAGGAGGAGATTAGAATGCTCAATAAGAAATGCACTCATTACCTTATTCATGCAACTGTAACCCCTCTGTATACTATTTTTACAATAAAATGTATTAAAAACACTACAACAAAAATTAATATTGACTGAATATTTTTGTTATATCCTTTTTTTTCAGTATTTCAGTGTGAAGGGGGTCAGATTATAAATTTTACCAGAGAAATTTAAAGCATAAATGAAATCAGAATAGGCATAAACACTAAGAATAACATGACAAAATTCAAGATCATCTTATTTATTGCTAACATGTAGAAGAAAGGTATTCAAAATGTTCTCTGAGTTCCAAAAGGAATTCACTGTTAATTTGAAGGTACGACTTAGACATTGTGGATTATTGTGGACCTGATCTAACCCTAATATGAATTATTAAAAATTTTGTCTCCCCTAAAGTCATCTAATTTCTAAACTGGGGTTTTGGCCACTCATGCGCGCGCGCACACACACACACACACACACACACACACACAATTTTAAATAGTTAATAAAAAGATAAACTATTTTTACATTGCAACATAAAAATGTAAGTAATCCACAAATGATTGTCATTATATTATCCCATCTTTTTCAGAAACAAAACAAAAATAATATTGAGAAAGATCATATGTCAATTGATATGTGGATGAGGCATTCTTTAAGAGAACTTCTCCAAACACCATCAATTTCTGTACTTGTCATGAAACAAACTCCATCCATATACTCTTATGCTTGTGAAACCCTTCCTATAGTGGAAGAGATTAAAAAGCCCAAAAATGGTAAAATAACAATGAAAGAAAACTCAAAGAACAAAAGAGATCCACATGCAACAAGTCCAGAATCCAAAAAGATAGTGAAAAATGTTTTATCTGAAACAACTAATGAAGCAGATAAATTTCCATCAAAATCATTACACAAAAGTGAACTATTTAAGAAGTCAAAGACCACATCAGAAACAAATCTAGAATCCAAAGACTGTAGTGCAACCTTAAAAACAGAACTAAAGGAAGCTAAGAAAGAACCAACAAATTCTGAGGAGACAGATACTGAATCCACATATGCAAATAAAAATCCAAAGATAGATTTCAAGAATATCCTAAAGGAAGATTACAACAAACCAAGGTCTTGCTCAATGAGTCATTTGAATAGGAAACTCGTGAAGGGTTTAAAGGTGTCTGATATTACATACTTTGATTTTAATAAGCAGACAATAAATTGCTCACAGAACAATTCAAAGAAACCTTTAAAGAAGTCTGCAAAGAAGAGATCTGATGTTGAATCTGGAGATTTGAAAGACACTAAGAAGGGTAAGAAAGATGCAAAGAAAAGTGACAAGAAAAAAGATTCAAAGAAGGATGAAGAGTCTAGTGAGATTGAATCTGGAGATACAGAAGTTTCAAAGAAAGATCCAAAGAAGGGTAAGAAAGACGCAAAAAAAGGTGATAAGAAAAGGGATTCAAAGAAGGATGAATACTCTAGTGATGATGATTCAGAAGAGCCAGAAGTTTCAAAGAAAGATTTAAAGAAAAGCAAGAAAGTTTCAAAAAAAGATGATAAGTTAAAAGATGCAAAAAAAAGTACAGGGTATGGTGGTGCTGAATCTGAAGACTCAAAAGATTTAAAGAAAGATCCAAAGAAGGGTAAGAAAGGTTCAAAGAAAGATGAAAAGAAAGACACAGGCACTACGGATTCTGAATCTGAAAAGGATGCAAAGAAGAGTAAGAAAGATGTCAAGAAGGAAAGGAAACCAAACATACAGAAGCCTCCTCAGAACTCAGAGTCTACTGATGCTGATTCAGAATCTGAAAGTGATTCAAAACAGGCTAAGAAAGATTCAAAGAAGGCTAAGAAAGATTCAAAGAAGGAAGGTAACAAAAAGAAAGATATGAAGAAGAATGTAGTCTCTACTGAAACTGAGTCTGACATAGAGCTAAAGAAGGGTAAGAAAGATTCAAAGAATGAAAACAAAGGCTCAAGAACTGTCAAGAACAATGCAGAATCTACTGATGTTGAACCCACAGACTCACTGTTGTCTAAGGTTAAGAAATTTGATGATTCTGATATCACATCCATAGATTCAAGGAAGGAAATAGCAGAAGCAAAGAAAGGATTCAGACTACTAGCCAAAAAGACCACTTTCAGAGAAATGGGGGAAATGTCAACTCCAAGTAGAATTCCTTCATCAAGGGAAAGACCACCACTTCCTCCTTGTGATCTTTATCTACAATCACCTAAGATCAGACGTATCTGCCAGTGCAACATGCCTCCTCCACCTCCAAAACCAAGATATGCTCCTTTGGTATGTTTATTCATTTTATTTTATGCCAAATTGGATTTCTAAAGAAAAGAAATTTTAAAAGTCTAATAGTATATATTCTCTAAATAATAGTTCTCTTTACTCTAATGTTGGCCAAGGTTGGGATTCAGAGGTGAGAAAGATGAATCCTTCAAAATGACTAAAACAAGTTACAGAATTGGTTAAACATTTTAAGAGAAAAAAATTTTGACTACTAAGAGAGATAACTTGCAGTTTAAGTATAACAGGGTCATTTTACAAAAAGTGTTAACTGTTTTGTTCTACACTAAGGAAAAAAATGAAAATTTACTAAAACTTCTACAAGGGCAGATTTAAGTGAGATGTAAAGGCATTTTCTAGGAACTCACTGAATACTAAATACAGTAACATCCAATTAACCAAAGTCCAGACATGACAGGTAGAAATACACAAAAATTCGGATGTGTGAAACATGTTATTTATTCAAATTCTAGGTTTTATGGCACACAGGGCCTCCCATGCTAGGCAGGTACTCTGCTGTTTAAGCCCTGTCTACAGCCCATTTTGTTCTAGTTATTTTTGAGATAAGTTTTTGCTTTTTGTGAGGCAGCCTGGACCATGACCTTTCTGTATTACACTTCCTGCAGTAGCTGGGATGAGAGACACATACTTTCATTGTATAAATTGTCTGTTTTCAACATAGTAGGAATGAAGTCTTCTGTCATGCTAAACTTAGAATATTGAAGTATCTTTAAATATTATATTTGTAACCTTTCCCCTAGTTTCCTTATACTTCTCTTTAGTTCTTTCTTCCTGTATCTAAAATCTGGATTTAGTCTTGTCCCAAATATTTCAGAAACATAGGATATAAAACAGAATACCAAACTGTGAATTGAGAGTGCTAGTGAAAAGATTGGAGAATAAAATAAAACTGTCGCTAGTAAAAGGTAAAAAAGTATAGGGACAGATAATGTATGCAGGAAGTGAGTGATAAATATAAATAACCAAACCATGACTGGATTCAGCACCTTACTTCTGTAATCTTACATATTCAGGAGGTAAAGTTCAGAAGGACTGTAATTTGAGTCTGACCCTGGCAAAATATTCTCAAGACCCTACCTTAGCCAATGAAAATATGAACATGGTGGCAGAAACAGTCATCACAGCATTTTGGGAAGAGTCAATAGGAGGACTGATGTCCAGGGTAACCAATGCATAGTTAAAATATCTTTTTGAAAAATAATAAAAATGAAAATAGCTGGAGATTTGGTTCAAGTGATATAGCACCTATCTGAAAATGATCAGATCTTGAGTTCAAAACATAGCTGCCAAAAAAATCAGGAGTTAAGGATGTGGCTCAGGATTTAAGGATGTGTTAGAGTGCTTATCTAGCACTGGATTTGATTCTCAGCACCTTACATAGAAATGAGGGAAAGAAGTAAAGAAAAGGAAGGAAGGAAGGAAGGAAGGAAGGAAGGAAGGAAGGAAGGAAGGAAGGAAGGGAGGAAGGGAGGGAGGTCCAGAGGGAGGGAAGGAGAAGAAAAAACCATGAAAATATTAACTATAGTAACAAAGCACCTCTGTGAGATAATTTAATATCTAAGATAATGCCACAAGATACATTACACATATAACAGCTTGTGCTGGTGGCTCATTCCTGTAATCTTATCTACTCAGGAGGCTGAGATCTGAGGATCATGGTTCAAAGCCAGCCCTGACAGAAATATCCATGAGAGTCTTGCATCCAATTAACCAGCAGAAAGCCAAAAGTGGAGCTATGGCTCAAGTGGCAAAGCACAAGCCTTGGGTAAAAATACTGAGATGATGTCCAGGCCCTGAGTTCAAGCCAGTACTGGCCAAAAAATAGACTCTACCTATATGTTATATAAATATATCAAATATAATTTTATGTTATCTTTATGCAATTTATAACTAGTGTGGCTTCAGTGACTGAGTTACATTTGCTCGCTGCTAACTGCAGAAGGGGACAAATATAATTAGGCTTAACCATCTTCTGTGCACATACGGGAACAAATAGGAAGAGTTGTTAATGAGAAAATCACATTTACTCACTAATTTTACTCTGAAATGTATTCTGACAAAAATGATTAAAGAAAAAAACAAACTACACATAACAAGTGAGTGAAACATTGTTAATATATTTATATGTATATAAACAAACGTTTGCACATATGTTTATAAACATATATGCTTATATGTTTATAGTGATGAAGCCTGGAGAAAATATATATAGGGGAAAGATAACACTATAATATTAAGAGAAATAAGGAAAATTACTATAAGATCATAATTAAGAAAGAAATGTGTGTATGTGTACAAATACTACACAGTAACATTTAAACATACTTTTGTTGTGATGAAATTTGGAGTTGCTATTAGTAATTTTTAATATATATTTTAACAGCATATTCTCAATTTTAATAGTTCTACTCCATCAATATACTTAAAATAGTGAGAACTGAGACTAATTGATAGACTGGGTGATAGACTGATTCCTATTTTTTAAAATGGTGAAGAGACTAACATTTAGTACCTCTACCACTTCAGTGGCCATTAGAATTATTCACAGGCTTTTTGTTATCCACATTTCTGAATTTCATCTTCTTTGAGTTAGTAAGTGTGAAGTTGAGACCAGAGACCTTCATTTTTAGAAGAAATAAGAAAATTAATATCTAAGATCCTTTTCATTGTTGACATTCTGTATTTTGGCATAATCCATAACACATCAAGAACTCCCTAATTTATGACATTTTACTTATTTTCTCTTTCTATTTTATTCCTCAGCCTGAAGCAGAATGGATCCACAAGCTACTTTAAACAGCATCTGAGCACTTGGTTTTACCAGAATGGCTTTACTAGAGCATGTTCTGTTAACATAAGCATCGCTACTGTGTAACTGTAATAAATAAAAGCAGGTGTTGCATGGTTATCACAGTAAGTTTTCACATAATCTTAGTGTATTATACAAAAAGGTTCTCTATTCATTGTATTAAATACTGAAACAAAAATAACGTCAAAATTAACCCTATTCTCTGAAGCTACACTCTAGAATCATTTCTGAGTTTGTGATAAAATATAGTAACTTCCCTTTGAATGTCTCTATCTTATGTTCTTAAAAATCTTTTAACTTAGCACATATAAAGGTTAATAGAGAATGTGAGGAGCCAGAGAGTTCCACACTTCTAAAAGGAAAATAACTACTTTTAGATATTAACCCTTAGCAATGATTTTTTGTTAAATCAAGTAATAACCAGACTCACAATTTTTCTCCTAAGTCTATCTTGTAAAATAGTTTTGGCAAGAAATCTACTAAATCAGTTTAGTGAGAGGCCTCACTCTCAATATCTGATCATCCTTGATACATGAATGTGTACTTCATCCCAGGTGATGGCTGATGATACTACGATCCTATTAGGTCAGTTTAGTCAGAACCCGCCACTTCCTCTAAGTAGTTTTCCATTCATTCACAAACCAGATGCTTGGCTGTAACTTTCCATTTGTCCATGGTATATTTATTTAGAGCTGAGATCTATCTCTCTTTACTGTACAACCCCATTGATGTGATTTCAATGCCTATCATGACAGGCTCTTTTTTAGCTAAGATTAAAGGTGTGAGCCACCAGTTCCAAGCCTTGATAGATTTTTTTAATTGAAATACTGGGATCAGATGTAAGTATCATTACTACAGATCCAGGAACCATTCAAAGGAAAATGATGCTGTATAGCAGCATCTATGCTGTTTCTTTGCTATTTTTCTTTTACATGTTAAGTAGCACCTCATCACTTGTCCACTTAATTTGTCCCTTGCAATTTCATGCTATATTAATATCTATGATATTAGCTATGAATAAAATATTTACCTTTATTTAATTCTACTTTTTGCATTGTTATTGTTATTTTACAGTGGGGTTACAGTTACATAAGTCAGATAAAGAGTACATTTCTCTAACTTTTTTCAATTCTTATTTTATTATTTTTGTTTATTATGTTTATTTTTAATATTTTATTTTTATTTAAATTTTATTGGAAAAGCATATAAGGAGGGTTTATAAAGATACAAAGAGGGGTTACAATTACATAAGTCAGGTAATGAGCACATTTCTTTTTGATGTCACCTCTTCTCTTATTATCTCCTAGTTTTTCCCTCCCATCTCGACCGACAAGGTGTATAGTTCATTTTGAACATAGTGTGTAGTAACACTGGTGCATTTGTTCACCTTTTGACACATCATTATTATGCCCCCTTACTTTCCCAAAGACAGACAAATTAACAAACAAAACAAAAGGAAAAGGAAACAAAAACAGCAATGTAGAAAAATCCTCTTGTTCATTTTGATAAATATTATTTTATGATCATATGCAAATTGGTACTGCAAATTTGTGCTCTTCTTTTAAGAATATCCTCCTTTGATCTCATTGTTTATGAATACCTAGAGACCTGTATAATTTATTATACCCTAGTGTAATTTTTTAAACCATCTAGTGTGTTTACTTGTAGATTTATAGGCACATTTGAGGGAAACCATGAAGCCTATGTTTCTCTAAGTTGGGCTTACTTCTCCTAATATAACTTTTCCAAGTTTTTCCATTTCCTGATGAAAGTTACAGGATCAGTAGAATTACATTGTGTATGTATACCACATTTTCTTGATCCATTAATCCAATCAAGGGAATCTAGGCTGATTACATATCTTGGCTAAGGTAAACATGGCTGCCATAAACATGGTTTTGCTGGAAGCTTTAATGTGGCCTTGCTTATATTCTACTGGATAAATACCCAGAAGTGGAACTGCTGGTTTATACGTAAGCTCTATGTGTAGTCTTTTGAGGAACCTCCATACTGCTTCCAGAGTGATTGAACATTCCCACCAACATTGTAGTATGTCCCCTTTTGGAAAAATCCACACCAGCATCTGTTGTTGTTAGTTTTCTTGATGATGTCCATTCTAACTTGGATGAGGTGGAATCTAAATGTCATTTTGATTTACATTCTTTTCTTTTATTGTAAAGATTCTGTACAGAGGGATTGCAGTTACATGAGTAAGGCAATGAGTACATTACTTGTCAATCATTGTTACCCTTTTTCTTATTGTTATCCCACTATCCCTTCCTTCCCTGAACTCCCACACTCCTCCCCAGCCCACACTATCCCCCCCAGCCCAAAGTTTTAAAGTTTGTTTCCAATATACTGTCCTATGGGTATCCTTTTTGCAATGGATCATTCTGTGTCCTTGTTTCAGTATTTTGTTATTCCCCTTCCTCTCCCCAGATTAGACAAATGTATATATAAGATTCAGAGTACCAAAATCAAGTACAATGACAACAGAGGATATTCCATAGGGGAAAGAACATACAAAAGAACAACAGCAGCAAAAAAAAAAATAAAATCACATGGTACATTTAAAACAATAACAATAAGGACAGACCTCTTGGGTCCATATTTTGGGGCTTCATTTCACTTAGCATCATCTTATATGGTCATATGTTCATGGCTTTTGAGCTTTGCCACTCATCTGAAAAGATTATCCTATTTGTATACTCATTATTGCAAATAAGGGAAACTATGGGACCTAAATTTCTTTTTTTTTTAATTTTATTTTATTTGTGAGGACCTAAATTTCTTAAGGACTGGGTTACTTCTCTTAATATGACTTTTCCCCAGGTCTTTCTATTTCTTAACAAATGGGGCAGTGTTGTTCTTTTTGATGGAAACATAGAATTCATCTATCTATCTATCTACCTATCTATCTATCTATCCATCACATTTTTCTATATTTGCATTTTTATGTATGTTTTATTATAAAAAATACTGTACAGAGGGGTTACAGTTAGATGAGTAAGGTAATGAGTACATTTCCTATAGAGCGTTGTTACCTCCTCCATTGTTTTTCCCCTACCACCTCTTCCCACCCCACCTCCCAAACTCCCACCCTCCCCCGAAGTTGTAAAGTTCGTTTTCAACATAGTGTCTTGTACATCTCATTATTATAATGGTATGTCACATTTTCTTGATCCATTCATCTACTGAGGGGCATCTGGGTTGGTTCCATATCTTTGCTATGGTGAATAATGTTGCCATAAACATAGTTGTGCTGGTAGCCTTAGTATGGTCTTGTTTGTAATCCTTTGGGTAAATGACCAGAAGTAAGACTGTTGAGTCATAGGGGATCTCTGTGTGTAGTCTTTTGAGGAACCTACATACTGATCTCCAGAGTGGTTGGACAAGTTTATACTCCCACCCACAGTGCATTAGGGTTCCCCTTTGGCCACATCCTCTCCAGCATATCTCATTACATGAGTAGGGTAATGAGTACATTTTGTATCAAGCAACCTCCTTCGTTTTTCCCCTACCATCCCTTCCCTCCCCACCTCCCCAACTCCTTGCTCGTCCTCCCGCCCCCTGAAATTGTAAAGTTCCTTTACAGCGTAGTGTCTTGTACATTTCATTATTGCAATGGGTCAACCTGTATCCTTATTTAAGCATTTTCTTATATCCCTTCCCCTCTGCAAATTCTAAAAATGAATATACAAGATGCAGGATACTGGAATCAAATACAGAACATACAAAAGAAATAGAATCACATAGTGCATTATATAGCAAGAAAGAAAAACACTTGCGTCCCTGTCTTGGAGTTCATTTCACTTAACATCATCTTATATGGTCATATGTACATAGCTTTTGATCTTTTCTGTTTGTCCTAGACATATATTAGTTATTGCAAATAAGGGAAACCATGGGACCTATGCTTCTTTGGGCTTGGCTTATTTCACTTAGTATATTTTTTCCCAAGTCTTTTCATTTCCTAACAAATGAGGCAAATGTCATTTTTTTTCTGTCGGTCATGGGGCTTGAACTCTGGGCTTGGGCACTGTCCCTGCATACTCCACTCAAGGTGAGCACTCTACCCCTTGAACCACAGCATCACTTCTGGTTTCTAGTGGTTTGTTGGACATAAGAGTCTCACTGACTTTCCTGGTTGGGCTGGCTTCGAACCATGATTCTCAGATATCAGCCTCCTGAGTAGGTAGGATTACAAGCATGAGCCACTGGTGCCCGGCTCAATGGCATTCCTTTATGATGGAGTGTCTGCTCTGTTTTATGGGGTTATTTTATGTGGGAATTAAACTTCTTTGAACCAACATTTATCTTTTTTTATGTAGTTTGTTCTGTCCATTGGAAACCCTTTTGGTTGTAGATTTTGGCGGACTATGGTCTTCCTAATGGAATGTTCTCTTCATTTTTGTTTGATTAGCCAGTTCAAGATTTGATATTCTGTTAATATCTGCTTATCTGGGGTCGGATTTTGTTGAGACCATTAATTGTAGGATGGGGGTATAGTGGTGTTGAAACATTGTGATGTTAACACTTGTATATCAGTTGAAAAAAATTGAGTTACTTTGGAAAGGGATGCAGAGTTGAGAGAAGTAGTACTTCCCAAGAGATGTATGGGTGAGAGATGGCTAATGTTATAAAGGAGTTAGATGAATATGGAAAAATAGGAGGCCAGGGAATGGTTGTAAAGGAAGAGACTAATGAGGGAGAGACTTTGTGGTCCACCCCACTGAAGAAAAGTAAATCAATGCATTACACTCCCTAAACACTAATATTGCTTACTCTAAAAAGCATAAGTCAGTTGTTGATATTCTCCTATCTAAATCCACATTAATTTTGGGTGGAGAAAAGGAGATTATACACATTTGTAACTAATGAGTAATTTAATTTTGTCAAGATGAACTAAGACAAAATTAAACAAAAGGAAGAAAAAGCGCCACAAGCAAAACCATAACAAAACAAAATATAAAATAAAAAATAAACA